ACTAACTGAACACAAATAGTTTCTATTTCATTTCAGGTTAAGTAGTAAACATGCTGGCTTTGATATGAGGGCATCTGCCGCTAGAAGTTGCGAAACTTTCTTAATCCTACCCACTGATCAGCAAGCCCTTAATCTGTCCCTCTTTCTGTCTCCTGAAGATCTTAACTGACATCTGGAAACAAGTTCTCATTTTGACAAATTATTGTTTTTGCACACAATTGCCACTTACACTTTTGCTCCTCTATTTTCAGCTTTCGGACCAGCTAGGCGTACAATTAATAATGGAGGTTTGCTGGTCCGAAACAAGAACTGGGGAAACCGTCACTGCATGCTCAGTTCAGTGAGTTTTCTCTTAACTCTCACTTTTATAATTGGTTTTCTGTACATACTTCACACCTTAACTACTTGTTTACACAAAGCAGGAAAACCAGTTGAGAGGCTGTCAATGCCCACAGGGCTTTTGTGGGGATGGTCATAAATGTGAAGGTGCTTTCTTCTTCCAGTGTCACTACTGAAAAGCAGTTTATTATATTCATTCATAATTTCTTCATATCAATGACTGCAAGGAAAGGTCTCATCTATGAGTGCAAGTGCAAAGGCGATCATCTCTATATAAAGGAACAAGATGTTTGTATTGGTGGGACATCAAGAGACTTCGTTGCTTACAGTTATGATCAATATAAGTTAATTCCTTATATACGGTCTGAATGATGAGTTCTAATTTATTATGTAAAGAACCATTTTCTTATATGATCTGTTGCATCCATCTGACAGAATGAAGTGGATCAAGATTCGGATGGTTCCTTGCTTTCTTGTCCTTGCAGCTTAATTTGGCAGGTGCTGGTCTAGCTGGTTATATATTTTACAAATACTGGCTTCGGGCATGTCTAGACCATGTAGCATGGACTAACTAACCATCTTGGTTATATAAAAATAAACTTATAGTAACTCCAAGGGAGTGGCTCAATAGTTAAGAGTTTGAGATTTCAATTTAAAAATTTCAACTTTAAACCTTGAGTCTGTTGGGAGAGGGATTTAGGGAAAAAGAGCACTATCATTCTTGTATAACCCATTCTTTCAAATGTACAAATAAAATAAAATAAACTTATATTAAACATGATTCTGCTTGCAGTCTTCCATAGACTTGGAGATCTTGGCTACCATGTGACAGTACATGCCACTTGACAATCAACATACCAAAGAAGTTCCAAGTTACCCTCAGCCTTTTGGACAAACCTTGTCAGCTGAAGGTGACTGGTCCCTTATAACAGTGAGCAATCTTTAAATCTGTCCCTAATTGCTGCCAGAACCGACTTCCATGCTATTTGCAGTGTGAAAGCTAAAAGTAAAGGGTTCCAATGGTCTAGCTCCAGTACTGAAGTCTGAAGGGTTGCACTTATGCTGATGCGAATAGAATTTTGATATCTCTGTAACAGCTCTTACAGAAGCCAGAAAGAGGTCCTGTTCCTCTTCTGTCCTGCCAATCAATAAGGACAGCTAAACTTATCTGTATCGTTAAATCTTCGTGGAACCTCTTTTCTCCCTCCTCATTGACAAGATAGTTGAGATGTAATTTTTTTTTTTTTTAGAACAAGGGTAATTAAAGGGGGAAAGGGCAAATGTGTTAGTTCATGAGCTGGAAAAGCAAGAATAACCCATAAACTAAGTGTAAATATTCAAGTAGTTAGTAGAATTTGAACTCCTAACCAACCATACCCAAATACTAAGACTTTAGAATGAATGATTAGACCCTGAAGGGTTGGTTCAATAGTTGAGATGTAATTATGTAAACACTAAAAAGGAAAAATATTTTATCTTGTTATGCAGTCAAGAGAACAGAGGTTTTAGTGACACAGAAGCGATTAAAGAGAACAAGATGCTCTAAAATTAATTGATGCTGTTTGGCTTTGCATAATTACATCTGTTCACATCGACCTTCCCCCCAATTGTGGGACGTTTGTTTCACATTGTTTTTATCTGTATGAGTTAAGAGTTATATATGAAATTTCACACAACTCTAAGCTAAGTAGTTTTAGAGTTGTGATGTGTTCTATCACTGTATCTTTCATAATTAATCCATGTGACAAGAAAGTCCGTTATTAGCTCCCTCTTCTACTTTGCATATACCTAGAATGCAGAAAAGAACTAAGATGGTCCAAAAAATATTAATCTTAACATGTGCAAAAGTCGTTACAGAATACCAAAAATAGAAGAATGCAAAAGAAAACTTCTCTAAGAATCCTCCAGGTCTTTCACCCAGCCCCTTCTCCAATCTTCATCAGTTAGTCCAACAAAGTACTCCCTTTCATCTTGTGATTCAAATTTAGCTTTTGCTTTCTTTACGATGGAATACGGTATGCCTCCCATGGTATTTAAAATACGAAGGCATTCAGTAATGGAGTAAGGATCAGTGACCATGGCAGTAGGATTACTTGTAGATCCCTGTCTCTGATGAGCTCTGGCATCAAAACACACTCTCTTTGCAGCTGATGTAACTTGCCCTGTTTCGATCAACTCATCATCCATATCTTCAACCCTGGGAACCTTGCCAGAACGACGTCCACTTGGAGCTGAAGGAGCTGCACGCTTCTTTTTCTTTTTCGAATCACCATTTTCATCCCCGGAGTCATCACCCTCCACAGCAACAGGCCTTGCAGCAGCTAAAAGTTCTTCGGAGTGCCTTTCTTCATCTGAAGGAAATTGATTTTGTGTTGGCTCCTTATAATGTTTGGTCCCCTCATTTATGAACATTTTAAAATCCTTAATTTTCTGAAATTAATACACAGAAAGGTAGATTGGATATGTGAAAGGACAATATGCATAATTTGGAAAGGAAAATCCTATATATATTACACTAAAATAAGGAAAAGGCATAAGGTTATACCAGATTGAGTCTCGGAATAAAGAGACTTACTAATAGCTTTCGTTCAATGGCACTTTCCTTCTCGCTCTGCTGCTTCAATTCGTCAAGATCGCTTTTAAGCTTTTCTATCATTTCTGTTTTAGATTGCAAATTTTGAATCAAATCTGCAATCTTCTTCTTTAACTTCTTATTTTCATCATCAAATTCCTTCAATTTGCTTTCCATTTCTATCCTCTCTTTCTGAAAAGATGAAGAATAAAATACAAGGTAAATAACTATTTGATCTGCTAAATTAATTCTAGCATGAGCACTAGTGACACAAGTAATATAATGATAAGTAGAATGTCAAATCCACAAGAATTGTGATTAATTAAAACCAAAAATAATTCATCCAAGATTTATTTGAACAATCAAAAAGAAAAGAATTTCAAATTAAAAAATTAAAATAAAATAACAATTAAAATAAATGAAACCAAGATATGAGGTACCAAGACATTCCATTTCATCAAAAACAATCAATATAAATTCTAGATTAATAAGCTTTCAAAATTAATAATCTTTGTAAAATCAAATAAGATCACTCTTAAACAATGCAAAGAAACTTAATTTTAAGACTGAAAAAGCATATAAATTTATGTAGAAATTAGACCTATCACAAACATGCCTACAAAAGTGACTCTATTGATTAAGAATTCGAAACTCCAACTTAAATATCTCATATTCAAATCTTGAATTTGGTAAAAAGGACATAACTTATAAGAAAAAGGAGAGCTATCCCCTTTGTATGCTGATGATGTACCAGAAAAAGAAAAGGGAAAAAAAAATCTATCCAAAAATAAAAAGAACACAGGGTCAATAGCCTGCAAATATAAAATGACAATGAGAAAATCAATAGAAAGGAAAGGAGATATACAGTTTTTACCTTCTTTTTTTCCCTGAATCTTTTGTCGTTTTCCTTCTTCCTCGCAGCCTGCTCCTCCGGAGTCATTCTCGGGGTGCGAGTTGTTTGAACATTGATGTTGGTTTGATCTGAACTCAGCGGTACAGAAACACTAATTTGATAACTCTTTCCAGTTGGTTGAGCATGTTGTTGGCTGTCAGATGTACCAGTTGTTTGAACATAGATATTGGTTGGATCTGGAAACCCATTTCCATGAATCGTTCCATCTGGTTGACGGTGTTGTTGGCTGTTAATTTGCATCTCCATGGTTGGATTCTGTGGGGATCCAAAAAGTTCAAATATATCATCGGGGTAGTTTTTTGGATCACCTGCAAAAAGTCAAGGAATTCACGGTACTAATTTTAATGAGATCATGTTAATAGAATTTAGTCAATTCTTATCTTGTAATTTGTTCAAATCTTTATCTTCTTCTTGGTGTTCGATCGTGAGCTTCAGGTGAGGGAGAAATACTGTAGCACTTATAAAGGCAACGGATTTGGGCATGAAAACTTTCATCACGAAGAAAAACTGAAAATAATCTCTTCACATAAACAACATCAAGGAAGACCATAACATCGCACATGATTTCAATTACTTCTTTACAAAACACAAATGAGGAAACAACTTGAATCATTTGGATGTTAACCGAGTTAATACTCATCAACTTAAAAACCTTGTGATTTAAGGTAAAGATCAGGCTGAAACCTCTGATATACCCAAAAATAAACAGAAAACCAAGAATCAATAACAACGAAAGACTTACAGCCCGTTCCAGTGTTCGGATATGACTGGAAACCCATCTCCCCTGCATATCCTCCACAGAAACCGCCTGGCTGTCGTGAGTTCGCCATGAGCACTAGCTGTGGTTGAGACTTTTGGATTCAGTTGCAGTTGAGCAAATGGCGTACAGAAGAGCAATGTTTTATACAGAGAAAAGTGCCTAACTCAAGCGGTTGACTTTACATTATCCGAAGAGTCGTCGCAAGGTTCCCGGCCGATGTCTTGCGGACTCCTCTCGAGCTTGGATGGTACTCCCTTCCAAGATTTAACTCGTTTGATTTTTTTCCCCTTAATTTTAGGTTATATATTTATATAATATATGGTAATTGATAATTTTTTTTTCTTTTTCTGCCAACAACCTAAAAATTGTTTTTCATGGTAGTTTTTATTGAATAATTTTATTTGATAATTTTTTT